TACATGTTTTATGCTAATAGGAACGACTTCCTGTAAGTTCTGACTAAATCCTCTAAACCGGACTGCTATTGGAACAGACTAACTAATGATATGCACAGTTTCGGTTGAAAATCGAAATAATGCATATGAGAAAAACCGAAATAATGCACATATGCACAGTTTCGGTTNTTTCGGTTGAAAACCGAAATAATGCATATGAGAAAAACCGAAATAATGCACATATGCACAGTTTCGGTTCAAATCCGCAATAATGCATATTAGAAAAACCGAAATTGTGCATATGCACACTTTCGTTTGAAAACCGAAATAATACATATGAGAAAAACGAAGTAATGCATTCATGCACAGTTTAGGTTCAAAACCGAAATAGTGCATAAATAAAAACGAACTTATTTCAGCGTAAGCGGCCTTCGGCCGCGGTCATGGATTTTAACCCTTACTATGTAGAATGCTCCTTTTTGTGTTGCCGGAAAAGGGGGCCAGAAGTATTTTTGCTCAGAGCTTCTTTCTGCGTAGGCGGCCTTCGACCGCGCTTAGGGATTATAACCCTTACTAAGTAGAAGTACATAATTCATATTAGAAAAAAAACGAAATTATTCATATGCACACATTCGTTGGAAAACCGAAATAATGCATATGTAAAAAAAAAAAACAAGTAAGAAAGTCTAAGTTCGAGCGGAACCGAACATTTAATACCCAGCGCAAGTATTAAATATATGTTTTTCACCTTTCCGAAAGCTGCCACTAAATTAGCGTCCTTAAATTTCGAAATATTGCAGTTTCAAGCATTNAAAAAAAAAACAAGTAAGAAAGTCTAAGTTCGAGCGGAACCGAACATTTAATACCCGGCGCAAGTATTAAATATATGTTTTTCACCTTTCCGAAAGCTGCCACTAGACGGTAAGCCGGGGATATCAATTTTGAGTAAATTAGCGTCCTTAAATTTCGAAATATTGCAGTTTCAAGCATTTCTGAAATTTACTGTTATATGAAAAGCGGCCGTACTTTTAGCCCGATTTCAACAATTTTCAACGTTTTACTTTTATGTGGCAAGCACAACAACCGTACCGAGTTTGGTACAAATTGGTAGAACGGTTACCGAGATACATATATGCGATCATAAGTGGGCGGTGTCACGCCCATTTTCCAAAATTTTATCATGAATATATTTCTTGGTAAAGGATTGTTGAAAGCATCAATTGTGAATAAAGTAGCTTTAATATTTACAAATTTATCGCATATTTCGTATTTCTCTAAAACACCGTTATATGGGATGTGGGTGTGGTTATTGTCCGATTTCAAAAATTTTCGGACTGTGCCAAGGTTGGAACAAATTGGTGAAGCCATTTTCCAAAGACTTATAAANTTGGTAGAACGGTTACCGAGATACATATATGTGATCAGAAGTGGGCGGTGTCACGCCCATTTTCCAAAATTTTATCATGAGTATATTTCTTGGTAAAGGATTGTTACAAGCATCAATTGTGAATAAAGTAGCTTTAATATTTACAAATTTATCGCATATTTCTCTAAAACACCGTTATATGGGATGTGGGTGTGGTTATTGTCCGATTTCAAAAATTTTCGGACATTTGGTATGTTGTACCAAGGCTAACAACTGTGCCAAGTTTGGAACAAATTGGTGCAGCCGGTACCAAGATATACACATGTAACCATAAGTGGGCGTAGCTACGCCCATTTTCCAAAGACTTATAACATTCTTATTTTTCGTCTAAAAATTATTGCAGGAATCAATTTTGAGTGAATTATCTTCAGTACGTACTAAAATATCGCAGTTTTCGTATTTCTGAAAATTACCATTATATGGGAGGTAGGCGTGGTTATTGTCTGACTTTGCCCATTTTCAATACCGTCCGTCNATATGGGAGGTAGGCGTGGTTATTGTCCGACTTTGCCCATTTTCAATACCGCCCGTTCTATGCCCGAAAGAAGTGTACGTACCAAGTTTCGTTAAGATATCTCAATCTTTACTCAAGTTATCGTGTGCACTGACGGACGGACGGACGGACAGACAGTCACCGCTTAATCGATTTCTCTTTCCATTCTGATCATTTATGTATGCATTTGTCTATATCTACCTCGATACGTTTTGCCTGTTACAAACAACCGTTATGTGAACAAAGTTATAATACGCTTGTGCACAAGTGCGCTCGGGTATAAAAACGAAGTAATGCATACATTCACCGTTTCGGTTGATAACCGAAATAAGGCATACATGCATACTGTGTCCCGACTAGGAATGTTAATCCCGGGATCCCAGGATCCCTGTCTTTTTAAGCTCCCAAAAATCCCGGGATTCTTGGAAAATAATCCCGGGATTTTCGTGACTTGTAATTTGCACTGATGGCAATAATAGAAACTCCTTTTCTTGACCAGTATTGGCTATATTTCTTTTTTTATGTAATAACTAATGTTTTTTTTTTATAAATGTCTAGCTCATTACACATATAACACTGCGCGATAGTAAATTTTAAACACAAATATCAATATATTCGCGAAACCATTGGCCAACTATAGTACAATGGCGTTTTTAGTTTTCACTCTGACGTCAGTTATTCAAAAATTATTTAAAAAAATTCAGAGAAATGTGCTTAGGGAAGAAGTATGGGTATCAAATTGAAAAGGAAATCCTGTAGAATTTAAACAGATTGAAGTTTGGGTGCAGAAGTATTTAAAATGCCCTTTTAAAATTGTATCCTTGAAATTTCGCAATATTTGTTTTTGAAAAAATTATATGTTTAGGATTTATATAAACTCGATAACATCCTCAAATTTCGTCCTTCTAATTTTATTAGCTTAAAAAATTACCCTGTGAATCCAAAAAAGTTGAATTTTTTTAGATTCTANATCCTTGAAATTTCGCAATATTTGTTTTTGAAAAAATTATATGTTTAGGAATTATATAAACTCGATAGCATCCTCAAATTTCGCCCTTCTAATTTTATTAGCTTAAAAAATTACCCTGTGAATCCAAAAAAGTTTAATTTTTTTAGATTCTAAAAAAATTTCCTCTTTCATTTGATACCCATATTTTTATTCTACATTGCATTGAGGTTTTTAAATAATTTTTGGAATTAATCATATCTTTGAAATAACAAAGTCCTTTAAAATGAATCCTGACGTCAGAGAGAAAAAATAAAAAACGCCACTTTAAATAAAAAAGTAGGTTTCAAACCAATTTATTTATTATTTAATTTATGGTAAGAGAGCTTCTCAAATAATATAGAAGCAAGTTTTTCGATTTAAGTTGTTGAAAAGTAATGAATATCTAAATACCGGGACTAATATCGGGATCCCGGGATTGTGATAACGACATCCCGAAAATCCCGGGATCGGAAAAAGCTGAAAAATTAACATCCCTAGTCCTGACTTACATATCATGTGTTGTAGATACGCATTTTTGTTATGCTCAAAGTTAAAAGCAAAGCAGCAGGGATGTACCACTGACATTCTATATAAGTATTGTGTATATATTTCGCATCAATGCAAAGCAACATGCAACTTGGAACCCGCCCAAGCATCTTAATGCTCAGCAAGCAATTCGACTGCCACCACGCTAACAAGCATTTGCTGCAAGCATAGCCACCTTATAGGCTCTCTACGAACTCATGGACGAGATCCAGACTTACATGGTACGTTCATTGGACTCATCGTTGAACAGACAGGCCTGAAGCAACTTTACCAACTATCGCCCCGTAAATGTCACTATCGAATTTTAACTCCCTCCCATTACAGACGAAGACCTTCAGCTTCCTCGAGAAACTAGCGTGTCTCTGGCGCAATCAAGGCCTGTGTTCGTCACGTGAAAATAAAATTTTTTCGGATTATGACATACCTGAACATACTCTTTACCCCATTCAGCTTATACGACTGACGTATCACCTCATTCTCTTTCGCATGGTTTTCGATCCGTGAAGGGATGTTACCATTCGATCCCTGGATACTATAATGGGTTACACTATTACTTATTCAGACTGTATCCCAAGATACCCAGTATATATGTCCACTTGTATAGGTCCTTATATACCCNCATTCTCTTTCGCATGGTTTTCGATCCGTGAAGGGATGTTACCATTCGATACCTGGATACTGTAATGGGTTACACTATTACTTATTCAGACTGTATCCCAAGATACCCAGTATATATGTCCACTTGTATAGGTCCTTATATACCCTTTATAGGTGAAAAAATTAATTTATAGAGTTTGCGTATCGAATCTCGCAAAAATGACCATCTTATGTTCTGGGATACCCTAATGTATGCAAACACTTACATCCATACAAGTATATACATTCGACCAAGCGCCAAGTACTAGATCATTGTGACAACAGACACAGCAGCAGCAGATGTATTTATTTTTTGCTCCTCCTTTTTTCTTAAATGGGGGAACCTGCCTGTAGTTTTTGGTGTCTGCTGCAGGGCCAGCAATAGCCTAGGTACGTTCGTAATTTGTGGTTATAAGTATCTGCCAATTAAGTTGACACGACTAAAGGCTATACAACGCAGAGGTGGCGCCTGTAAAATGGAACATGAAATGGTACTCGACCCCAACATTTGACATAAATGCTTATTGCATGGTCAGAGAATGATTAAAGTTACAGTGTGTTTCGAAAAAAGAATATTGAGTACTCGTACTAGTTACTTATGTTACAATCAAGAAAAGAGATCTTATTAGACCACTTCCTGCGCACCTGAAACTTAGTTAGTTTGTTTTTCTCACAACGTTTTGGTATAGAATATGTTACGTTCCTCTTTCAAAATTATGATTGGCTACTTTATGAAAAACATCCTGCTGATATTGAAAGATTTTTTATTATTAATCTGTATCTGTTGTTGTATCTGATTTTTAATTATATTACATCACAAATTGTATCTCTGTTCTTGTATATTACTCTATCATAAATTAAACGGGAAGTAATAAGCACCGACCACAAAAGGTTTGGAGGAGGCGAAGGCAAAGTGGTGTCAACAAGTGAATTTTTAGACATGAGCACAATAGAACTTAACTACGCCACTGCTAATACGGTGCATTCTGCAGTCACTTATCCTATCTTGTGGATCTTATTTATTGGCAATTCACTCAGGAATACATGAGGAAGGCGCAAGCCACTTACTTAAGATTATAATTCTTTTCGATTTGATTTCTTTTAGGTACATATTTTAACATCAAAACAAGCAATTGGCATTAGAGGACGGCCTGGGACATAGCGGCAAGACATGCAAAACAAATTAAATTCGATAGTAGCATGGTGGCAGAGTAGCGGTTGCATTCTTTGGCATTGACGGATGATGGGCTAAAATTCAATGCTCTGAGACGGCATGGCATTTTGCGAATTTATAGCTACCAACAGTGGAGGAATTCGGAAATTTTTAGAGAATTATGTTTTGCTGGCAAACAGCTTCGTTGACAATTTATTTTAAATAAAGTACTTTTAATTATTTATTAGAGGGAATCAAACACACTTACATACGGACACAGTTTACACCAAACATATTTGTAAGTATATTTTTGCTATATATTTAATTTTCAATCATAAAAACAAGCTCTTAATATTTTTTAGAAATGTATAAATGTACATGTATGTTTTGTACATCAAAATGGGATAATCTAAATTGAGTATGAAAATAGTCTTAAACTTTATTCTGAAATAATTTTACAGCTAAACATATGTATGAATATGTATAGTATTTGCGAAAACAGACGTACATACAAAGTACATGAATCAACAAACAAAGGATGAAGTCTAAAACTGTTGCTGAACGCCTGCATTTCATATTTACAACAAAATACATATTTATAGCTTTACTAAACTGAGAGATAATCCACCATGAAAGTTCTAAAATACTTTTTTTTAACAAGCAGCATTTTAAAAATATCGTATTTTAATCCTAAAAAAGCTTTCAGTGCATTTACTAAATTTACAAACAGCAATTATTTATGAGGTGCATGCATTTTTGCCTGAATAATTGGCCTAAGAGAATATTTAACTAGTATTCTTTATCTAAAACAATATATTACTTTCAGAGTTTCCATTTCATAAAAATTGTTTACTATTTTCTTATTCCACAGCATTTGTCCTGAGAAAAGACATCAAGAAACTTGGAAGAATTTATTAAAAATTGTGGAATATTAGACATGGTAGACGCATTAGAGTTTATTTCGCAACATTATATAAATCTATTGATCCTAATTTTTTTTATTAAAATCAGTTTATCAAGAATGGAACAGAACCGAAAGAGTTTCTCTGTTGCGCCAACTTAAATTGCGACTACTTTTTTACACATGGAGTTAAAAAGTGCGTCTCAGGCTCAAATGGAAAATTGCAACTTATTTATTCGATGTGTAATTCAGCAAGCATTTTTAATAAATATAGATTTTGTATATTCGAAATAATGTATTAACTCCTTCCACTGATATGTATGTATGTATGTGTACACCCATATTAGGGTGGATCTACTAATTTATTACTAATGGCATTTCCTGATTCTGCAAGTAAATCTAAAAGAAATTGTAGAAGAAACCACCTGAAATGAGTTTTTAACCTGCGCACTTTTGAAAGAAAAATTTAGTTTTTCACAATTTTTTTTTCGTTCTATGCCACTTTTATAAAGTATTCACCTTTTGTTAAAACTAATGGATACAAAACGCCTATATACATATATTTAAGTTTATAATATTTTTAATTTATTTACCAGATTGACCGTGCAAAAATACACCCCGTGCTAAAATTATAAACGCACCACAAATTGACAAGTTTAAGCAATTAATTGTTTTGGCATTTTTTTGTTTAAAAGATTGATCAGTTTCTACATATAAAAAATTGTCTTTGTAAAATGCCAACACCGTCAGTAAAAAAAACATTGCCAAAAATCAACAGTAAGTGTTAGCTAAACTTGCACTTTATTTTACTAAAATGGAATAGAAAACGAAACTGTATACTCAAATCTTTCTAAGAAATTAAAATTTTTGAAATTTTTAACAAAGTTTGTTATTTTTTTTTTAATATTTATCGCACAAAGTTTGAAACTTGTATTTATATAGATAGTTGTAACAAAAGGTGAACAGGTGAAAGGTGAAAAGGCTGTTCTGCGTTGGTAACACAAAATTTGTTACCGGTTAGTAAAGTTACTGTCAATGTTTAAACCCTTTTCGTATTCTCCACACTCTTGTAACCGGTAAATTTTGTTACCATCTCATGAGCAGGTAACAAAATATTGCCCCGTGAAATATGTAACACCAGAATTTCAACAAAACTCCATAGCTGAAATGTTGAATAAATTAAAACGTTACCAAGGTAAATAGAATTGCGGTTGCAAGAAGTAGTGACAATTGTTGGTAACAAAATTAGCGTGTTACAAAATGTTTGGTTACAAGCAGAATAGGCCTGTTTGTAAGACTGACACAGAACGAAAAAATAAAACTTTGTGAAAAAGTACATTTTTTTTTTGTAAATGCGCAGGCTAGAAACTAATTTCCGACTTATAGTTTCATCTACATTTTCTCTACGAATTATCTGTATAAACCGAAAATACATGCGATTTGCCGAAAAAATATTCTTCCGAACAATTTGACCCGTCCTAATCCACATACTCATACTTTCATATTGCATATTTGCCCATTTTGGGTGGTTGTGTCTGTACATTATAATTCCATATATGTGTGTATGAATGTATATTCATACATATATTCATATTATTACGTTGCTTAACACTTCTTTGGCTTATCGTACATTCATTAAATTTTTATTAAATTACATAAATTAGATTTAAATCGCAAGGCGAGTGTTTAAATTAAGTAAGTACAAACCTTCGAGTGAATATTTTCAAAACTTTGAAAAATAAAGCGGCAAAAACACACACAAACATGTGTACGTGTGTATGTTATTTACTTTAAATCACTTACTAGCAAGCTTCTGAATATTTTGTATCTACTGTTGCCATATTATATGTACATTCTTAAGTGCTTGAGTTCCACAATGTTTTTGCGATAGACATTATTGAATTGTGGTCATGCACGCATACGAATTTACATGGGTTATACTCCTCTCTGTGGCTTCAAATAGCCAAGTTATCACAGTTTTCGAAATTTATTAAAGACATTAAAAACCAGCACTTTTTTAAATTTCTCCACGTATGTATATAGTATGTACATATGTACAATGTTTTTTCTTCTGTTATTTATCTAGCTACTGTGCAAAAAATTATTTTATGTAATGCTCTACCGCTGAAGTGTTTGAAATATTTTACATAATTGTTGACGAAATTATGCTGCTCGCTTGCCTTTAAAAATTATTCCAGTATTTAAAATAAGTTAACTTTAAAAATCTATTTACATTTACTATAATTTAAATATATAAGCAGATTCAGGTTTTTGAGGAATGCCTCTATTTCGACTCTCTCTTTAAATTATATTACAATTTACAGTTTTCTTGATTTGTATAAAAAATGAGACCTTAGGTACATTCATATATTTTTTAAGCCCATAGCATTCAAGCTTGATTCTAGAAATTTTACTACTTTACACTCAACGCATTCTGACAAGGAGCTACTTGCTACACACACGCACAGCGTTTATTTACGCATACAGAATACATACACGCTCGCAATCGCACTTACGCTCAGCGACATTCGTCGCCCACTTTCATACTCGTTTAACGCTGGAGATGATGGTTGCTGCTTTGTGCGTTATCCTGGAGATTTTACAGCCCATGGTCGTTGGTATTAAGGAAACTGCGACAAACGCGACTCACTTCCGGATTCGCATGGTTCATAAGCTGCATGTAGATCTGTTTGTGTAGTTGAATTTCATTGGTCATCTCCTGTAGTTGGCGCAAAAGTGCCTCCTTCTCTTTCAGCAACGTCTTGACCCGCTCCTCTACTTCCCGTGAGCGTACCTTCGCCTTCTCGCGCGATTTTCGCACCGCTATGTTGTTACGTTCTCGTCTTCGTCGGTATTCCTCGCTGCCCTTGTCTACATGCTTGAGCGAAGATTTGCGTTGATGTTGAAGTTGTTTGTTATGGTGTTTGAGGAGATGGGCGCCAGCTGCCAGATGAGGAAGATTCATAGAATGGTGTGCCAGCACGTTAGCTGAGGTGAGGGTTGTGAAGTTGGGTGCTGTACCGCCAGCTCCGTTGTTCATACCGCCGGTGTTGACCGGGCCGTTGTTTGCCGCTGTCTGGTAGGGATTGTAGAGACCGTTGGCACCACTATTTGTGATGAAAGCTGCCGCCGCTGCATTGTTTGCGTTTGTCTCCTGTAATTGGCGGCGATATTCCGGGTCGATGGGCTCCTCTTTAATGGTGGATGTGTCTGAGCCAACCGAGGAGTTCTCATCACTTGAGTTAGTACTGTAGGCTGCGCCGGAGTGAACCGCCTGTGGCATGTATGCCAGAGCGCTGCGTCCGTAATTGTGCTGTTGAGTGCGCAGCGACTGTTGCTGCAGTTGATGCTGTTGCAACACTTTTGCCGCTGCGCTCACCATCCCGTTGGGCGGCAGGGTGGCTGAAAGCCCTCCGGGGCTTGTTACCATGTCGCTGAATATACCCAGGCCCTCCTGTTCGCGAAACTGATCGTCGATCAAGTGTTGCAGATCCAAAGTGATTTCCTGTGCGGTCAACTCGTCCAGATCAGATTGGGAGTATTGCTGCAGCATTTGCTTCTGAAGCAGGTTGTTCACATTGTTTACATTGGCGTTAATGTTGGAGGTATTGTTGTTGTTAAGAGCCGCGGCCGCATGTTGCATTTGATGGACTGCGTGCTGTTTGACCACCAGACCAGAATTCTGTTGTTGCGCAGCAATTGCAGCAGATGCTGCCATATTTCCAACATTATTGTTATTGTTGGCATCTGTGCCGTTGCTATTATTGCTATTGGGGTTGTTCATGTTGGGGTTGGCGTTGTTGTTTTGCTGGTGGGCGCTGGGCATGGCAGTCAGTGTGATTTGGCCGATGATTGCCTGTTGGGGCGGAGGCTGTTTTTTGAGGTCCAGCTGAGAGAGGGTCTGCACGGTGTCGTACATCTGCGTTGACTCCATGTTGAGCATTTTAAGTTGCGCGAATGAAGGCAAAATTTTGCAGTTTGTATACTATTCCCCCGGATGAAGTTAGCTTATGGAATTAAATTATAGCACGAAATTTAACTGAGCCCTAAAGATGGACGCTTAAACTATTTTTATGATTATTAGCCACGGGAATACGAGAAACTTTATTAGTGCTTTTTTATTATTCACCAAAAATTCTATGGCGTTTTTAATCACAAAGATTTTCTCTTTGATTGTTTGTTTAAGTCACTTTGGGTGCGTTTGCTGTGGTCTTCAAATATATAGGTACATATGTGTATCTTTCAACATTAATATTACCAATTGCCTTTCAAAGTCCTGTTTTGGTTTGCACAGTTTTATGAGGTAAAATCTTTGGATTTGGTTTGAGTCGTAACAAATTTTAGCATTCTTTGACTTTTGTGTTCTATTTCATGTACATATATTCTGCTTTTAATTTTTTTAGTTAGGGCAGCAATTTAATGTCGGAAATTTGTTTTTTTTTTGTTTTTTGTTGGAACAGCTGCTGTCACAATTCTTTTTATAAAAAGTTTACAAAAATAGTCACGGCTTGTACATACATATATGTGTAATATGTTTTTCTAGTATTTGCGATGCAATTTCATTAAATGTCGGTTTAGTTTTTTGTAATAAAATAAACGTCTGTTTTCATTTCACAACTCACTATTTTCATTCATTTTGTGTTTTAGTTTAATCGCACCCAATGTTTTTAATTCACTCAATTCGTTTATTTCTTTCTATCTATTTTACCAACATGAATGATTTGTCGGGTAAGTAATTTTGAAAATTTAAATTTGGTTTCGTTACTGTTAGTTAGCTTTAAAGCGTCTGGTTTACCGCGCGAGCCGTCACTTTTACTTAACAACCTTCCTCGGTCGACTGAAGTGTTTCACAAATGATGCAACCGATTTTATATTTTCCACTTACACGACGTGCGCGTCCGCGTCCGCATCCGTTCATGAGTGTAACCAACTCAATAACTTGCAGTTGCCGCTGCTGCAGCTTTGGCTATCGTGGCTCTTCGCCAAGTCTTCAGCGTCTTCGTTTTGGCCCAACAATGACGACGATGTGTTCGTACGCTGCAGCCACGCAGTTGGCGTCTGAGCTAACGAAAGAAAATGTATATGACCCACCGAAAACAACCACCGACTGTGTAACTGAACAACCCGACCGCCTGTTAATCGCAATACCGACAATGACGTCGCTTATGCAATGACGAATGGCGAGTCTGGGGAAGCACGCAAGCTTTTTTCTTTAACGGAGCTCCCGTTTTTAATACCAAAGGAAATATGGTGTCAGTTAAGTTACGCCCGAATTCTCTAAATTGACCCCTCTGCTGCTTGTCTCGGAAAAACGGGGTTAACTTTGTTCGTTACCGAAGGCTGCACACGTCTGTTCGCCACAATTTGTGAATTGCAACTAAAAGTTGGACTGTAACTCGCTTGTTATCTCCGGCATTAACCGAAAAGAAACTTCAAAGAAAGAGATTCCAAAATGAATTAGTAGAAGCAGAAGCAAATTATAAAAAGATATCTTCGCCTCGTCTAAAAGAAGTTGCCGAAAATATCAACAAAACATAGCATACACAATCTGATCGTAAAGCACACACTGAAACGTTTGTTTGTAAGCTTTCCATTACTAGTTTTCTGCAACTACCTGTGGATTTGAGTGGTGCGCCACTGCCCCTTTCCCATACAAATAAAATTATGTAAATACATATTTATGTATGTATATAGTTACGTGTGTGCATACATACAATCTCCCGTCAAAGTACTTTCGGCCCACTGGTGAATGCGCCAATGTTTCCCCCCACGATCTTATACTCTTTGACTTCATTCAAGTGCTAGTATTGGTGTACACTCAGAGCTTCCCAAAACACTTTCGCTCTCTTCGATGGAATGCTGTTTTCACGTCTACTATTTGCTGGTTACTCGCTCAGCTGTTTGGCTGCTTTAATGGCTGAGTACTTTGGTGCATCTGTATAATTTTTTTTGTAGTTGATCCCTTGCCTATCATGTTTCTGAAGTTTTGTGTGGCCAGTTAACAAGCTGGACTCATGTTTTATATCGACAAAAGCAAGTACCGAAAATGCATTGATGAGAACTGCATCCATAAAAACGTATTGTTTTTCTACTGTTTTTTTTTAATTTTTTTCAAAGACTAGTATAAGAAAAACTTAAATAACTGAACCTAAATTCTTCCGATTTAGACTTGTGATGTATCATTGGAAAGGCAAAGGTAGGGTGAACGAACATTATTCAAAGTTAAATTAAGATGTGTTGGTATTTGAAAAAAAAAAAATTGGGACACGAATGACTCTTTTTTGCACATAAATAAAAATAGTGGGAAAATACCTTTTCTACCGAGATCCCATAAGTCTAAATCAGAATAGTTTTGGCCCAGTTATTTAATAGCGATTTCGTTTCTACAAAAAGTGTTGCCTTCTCATCGCCTTTTTCTTAGTGTTGTGCGTAGAGGAGAAGGTTGATTTTTCGGTAGAAACGAAATCGGTATAAGTTTTTCGTAAATCAATTTTTGAAAAAAAGTAAAAAAAAGATCAGATCAAAAATCTCATTATTACGATATAGTTGAAAAGATTTTTAAATATTTTGTATTCAGATTTTTTAAGCCAGATCTGTCTATCATCTGAGTGGACTTTTTTATTTCAAAAACTTCTTTAAGAAACTATTTGTATTCATAAAAAACTCCATTTTTAGAGGTATTTTCAAATCGGTCCAGCTCGCTTAAATCTTAATATATTTCCGAAATATTTTGGTGGACGTCTTAGAATATAATAAGTTTGTAATCTCGGCGGAAAAACTGCAACTTTTTTGGTGATTCAGTCTAATGTACACACATATCGACGCCTCCAAACCATACTATGCTAAAAGCCAGCTTATGGCAACTTAACTTAATTTAACGGAACGTAGAACTTAGAGAATCAAAATGAAACAGATTTCGACGTGGCATTAACTTACGCTAAGTTTCGGCTGTTCAATTACAAGCAACACCCATTTAACAGAATTTTTAACAGAGAGCCATAAGTTACGTTAAGTTGCCATAATCGACCATAAGTCTGACTACCAGGTCTATTCTGCACGTTATCGAAGATTTTGTGACCGGAAAAGTGTATTACAAAAAAATGTTAACACTTCTTGTCACCGCGATTCTAGGTACGTTGGTAATGCAGTGCAAAATATTCAGCAATTCAGCTATGAAGATTTGTGGAAATTCTTGTATTGCATATTTCACGGGGCAATATATTGTTACCAGTTCATGAGATGGTAACCAAATTTACCGTTTACAAGAGCGCACAGAATGCGAAAAGGTTTAAAAATTGACAGGACACTTTAATTACCGGTTACAAAATTTGTGTTACCAGCGCAGAATAGACCTGTAAGTCTAATTGACTTAGCATGGTACGGTTTGGAGGTGTCGATATGAATGTATCCAAGTAGTCGTTGCCGGTCTTCAACCATGACTTCTTTTCCAAAATCCATCCGCTGACGGTATCTACATAAGCAGATCTTGTAATCGTTTGATTTCTTGAACAGGAATTGGTATATCCGTCACTAAAAAGGCGTCTAAGAGAACCTCCTCATTGCCTTCTACACTCTTGTGGTCGGGGAACCAATATAGGTGGGCGGTTTTAGAAGCAGCTAGCCTTCTTATAGCTCTATTGTAGTCCGTTCGTATTTCAAGACGAAAGTGGAACGATAATCATTGAAAAAAGCGAAAGTTTGTGAGTTCTTGTCAAGATAGAGGAATCTCCGAAGAAAAGGAAATAAAGTATAAAATAGCACCCGATTATTGAAAATATCAATATATTTATTAATGGAAATATTACAATCGCACTTCTGTAATAAAAGTTGTGGGCATACGTACATCCATAAGTTGGGAAAGCATACACATACATATGTACATACATACGCGGTAACTTATTTGTTTTCCGCCAACATAGCCATTACAAATTACACCAGCTATCCCGTATTAAAAAAACTACATCAATATTCACTTGAAATGTGCTCTGCAAAATATTAAGGCATTATTTAAAGATGTTAACCACCGTTGACTGGTACACTGAAAGATTTAAAGAGGCGTTTGTAGACCTTCTGTCCGCTGCTCAAGACCAAGTGAAGACGACGTTACCGACACCGTGTTATATGCATGGAGTCGAAAACGTCCTTAACGATGTTAACCGATGATTAGTGTCAACCAGGCTTTGAGCAATCGGCCCTTAGTAGTTCTTCACTTGGAAGAAAATCCCAATGCTGAGTTCATTCGATCCTTGAGCGCCAAATCGCAGAACTGTTTCATTGCTGCAGCAGGTCTTGAGCAGCGGACAGAAGGTCTACAAACGCCACTTTAAATCTTTAGACCAAAATGCTAAATATTATGCATGTAAGTCAAAATATATTCGAAAGGCCACACTTAAACTCACTTATACGTTTTCTACTCCTGCCCAGTTCATCTAAGCTCTCATCCTCTGACGAATCGTCAAGTTTTTATCAACTCGCATTATTTTTTACTTCATTTACACAAATTTGCATATAAGCACATAGTGAGCTTAGTTTAGTTAAGTTGTAACAAACGCGCTTTCTTTTATTTTAATTTGCTCAATTTGTAAACAAAGTGTTATTTAGCTGTCAAAATTATGCTATTCTGAACCATGATTCAATAATTAAAGGTTTGCGCACTAGTGGCGTTAGAGTTTTGACACTGTCGTACAAACGTTGCACATACAAACACACAGTGCCACAGTGGGGTACGGCCTATAGCGTAGTAATGGCAAAAACTAAAGGCAAGAAAACAACGAGTACCACTTTTCCAGAAAGGCTGCGCGATATAATAACGACTATATTCAATGTTGCCGTGGCGTTCAGAAGAAATGTATCACCAAAATTCCCTAAAAAGGATCAAAAGTATCATGAAAAAAAATTTTAAGTATCAAAGTATCAATCTCCAATAAAACTTCTGATTCTTAAATTAAAATGGCAGTTTGAATTTTTAATGAAGACCATTGACAGTTTTTATTAATATTTTTTGGTTTTTATATAAAATGCATGGTGAAAATAAAGCTTTTATCTGGGTAACAGTTGAATTCATTCGCATAGTTAACCCTTTCACTATATAGTATCCATATGGATATACTCAACTTTGTGGTCGGCTGACAATCTCCACGCCAGAAAAACAACTTAGTTTTCAACTGATTATAATTTTTTAAGGTCTTAGGAAACACCTACAATGGAAATATATATTATTTTCGTTTAACTGAGAAAAATACAGCATTAAAAATAGACGGGTATATATTTTTTTAACTTTTGGTGAAAAAGAGGTTTTGTTTTATAAAAATTACACATATATTTGACCACATATATACTTTTTAAACATGTCAAATATGTAGAAAAGCGTTCGTTCTAACATTTTGCATTATTAA